TAAATATGTATATTACTAATATGTAATAATAATTTTTTTATAGATGTGAAAGAAGTTGTGGAAGTACTTAATGCTGTTAAAAATGGTTAATATATATTATTTAATTTCAAAATTAAAAAATTTAATGCTTTTTTCTTTTCTTTTTGTTTTTTTTTTTTTTGATTAAATTTAGATTTTAATTTTAATAATTTCAATTTTGTAAATGTTATTAATATTTCAGATGATGTTACGACTCTTCAAAAATTACTTAAGGATGATCCATGTCTTTGCAACTGTCATTTAGATGATGGAGCTACTCCTTTAATGTATTCAGCTATGCTTGGATATCTGCATATTGTTCAGCTGTTAATAAAGTATGGTGCTGAGTTAGATAAACAGGATACAGTAAATGGTTGGACAGCACTGATGCAAGCTGTTTTTCATAAGTACTTAAAGAAATATATAATGATAAAAGGTAAAAATTGGCAGAATTTATTTTTCTTTATTTCATTACAGAAAAACAGCTGTTGTAAATTGTCTTATAGAGGCAGGAGCAAATGTAGATATCACAGCATATAATGGTTGCCAAGCTTTGGATTTGGCTTATTTATTACGTAAGAATGTGTGATTTATGTTTCTTTTGTTTCACCTTATAATAAAGGAAATTTATATTAAAAGAAAAATTTTTGTTTGTAGAAGAGCCAGATAATGAAGTGATTAAATTATTAACAAAAAAAATAGAGTCATCAACAAGTAATATTAAATTAACATCACCGTTAAGTGGAAATATTCCACTGAAAGCCTCAAGATCATCTAACAGTAGGTAAATTTGTTTACTTATTTCAATTTTTGAATTACAAATAAATTTATATGATTTTAATGAAAAACTTAGTCAATTCTTTTTATTTTCAGGTATATATCTAAAGACAGTCAAAAGAACATGAGTATTATGGTATGTAATATTAAAATAATTTGATAATTTTAATAATAAAATGTTACTTTGTAATTAAAATTAAAATCTTTTCTAGAACTGGCTAGGTGAAGTGTCATCAAATATCTTAAATCGTCTTCAAACTACAAAATTTCGACAGTTACCTTCACCAACTTCTGAAAACCATTCTCCAGTTTCCTGCGATGTGTTTTTGTCTCCTGAAATGGCTGAAAATACACAAAATGATAGAGTACAACTAAAGAATCTCAGTTTATCTTCACTGCCATCACCTGGACAAGTAAGATATTTTTTTCACACACACAACAGTTATATCTTATACATTTTATCAAATATTTATTTAGGATTCATAAGTTAGAATTATTAAGATTCAAAGTATCTATTAATTCAAATTTGTGAATTGTTAAGTAATATAAATAAATAGCATGTAAAACTGTAGCTCAAAAATAAACATATCAACACTAAACATATAGAAATCTATGTTAATTAACACAATAACACAAAAATCTGTAGTTTAGAAATGTGAAATTGTGAAAGAAACATGTATAGCAGACTTGATATATAACAGACTTGATAATTCACAATCAAATACCGACAAATATGCCATCTGACGTGACGTGATGTTTATGTCAGATGTCATCAAAGGGTTAAAAACGTTTATGCATGTCAAAGTTCTAGACTTGGAATAACTATGCTTAAATAAATAAAATGAATATGATGTAATTAGATTAAATGTAAAGAAGCTGGGAGAAATAAAGGATGACCAGGTGAAAAATTAAAATTGTATGTTTCAGATGTTTTCTCTGATATGCCACTTTGGGCACTGGTACCATGGTTTGCCACCACTGATCTATGTTCTTATTTAAAATCTGTTCTAATTACAATCTCTATTAAAATGTTGCAGGTTAGAACCTGATGATGACCATTGAATACCATTTTTGTGTTATTGTGTTAAATAAATTAATCAGAGAAAATGTAATTAATAGTTTAAGTAAATTAATTTTTAATTTGACTTAAAAATATTAATAACCAAATAAAATAGTTTTATTTACTTTTATTTAATTTTTTATATTTATTTTTTCATTTATTAGTATTTATGATGCAGATTGTACTATTATTAATATTGAATAAGTTTTTTGAGATTGTGATTTTTTCAGAATTGAATTATTAGAGTGAAAGAGCACATCTAGTATATGAGTTTAATTTCGTTGTTCTACTGAAAAGAATACATCAAACAAACTCATTGACAAAAAAGATATACCTGATAGAATTGTCCACTTACTGAAGAATGCAGCATATGGCTATGTCTCAGACATAGCTGTGTACATGTACATCTACAATTGAGAGATCTGGAGTAGCAGTTACATCTGTCAGCAAATCTATTGTAGGACAGTATACAGTGCCTGTATGGCTAATCTTATTGGCATGTGTATCCAGGCAAGAGCAGATCATACAAAATACTAAAAGTTTCTTTAAACTGTACTATTGTTTCAGAGAAAATTCTGATTTTGCTGTGATATTATAATTACTCATTACCATTATCATTATGTTTGCACTAATGAAGTTTCATTCAATTCCATCATCTCTTTTTTGATACATAACTTTTTTGTCAATGAGTGTAATTTGATTTATTTTGGTACTATGTTCAGTTACATTAACAATTAACTATTCAGTTTAATTTCCATTAACCTGCTTACTAATTTGTGCAGGTCTTGAATAGTATATTTGTACTCTCTTGTACTATAAAAGCAAATGCATAACATTTTAGTGAAACACTTCAGAGAGTACAAATACCCTATTCAAGACCTGCAAAAATTAGTAAACAGGTTAATGGAAATTATGTTAACTGATGACGAACACATCACAGTATTCAATTTAATTTTCAGTAAAGGAAAAGCTATTGCTAGGTCTTAACTATACTTGTTTTCTTTTCTGTATTTAGATCATATTCTTACTAATTATCATCTTTTCTTTTCCAGTTTGTTCATTAATATTTTTTTGTATGAATAAATTGTCATCTACCAAATTACTTTTATGCTTTATATGTAAAAAAAAATTTGTAGGACAAATTATTATTTCATTCTATAAATTACTTTTCAGTTGTTATTATCACCAAAGAGTTTTCCAAATGTTGTTGTTCCTCCACTTCTTTTTAGTCCCATTTCTGAAATCACTCAAGGAAGATTGTGTATGAAATCAGGAAAAAGAATTCCACACAGTGATAGAACTAAGGTAATCAATTTATAAATATAAAGTAAATAACATTCAGTTAAAAACAAAATATTTGTAATAGAAAATGGATTCTTTGGCTTTTCATCCTGTTCATTTATTAAAGAGAAGAAATGTATTAAATTCTCTAAATTCCAAATTATCTCCATCCAACCAAGCTGATGAAGGTGAGTAAATACTTTTAGTTAATTATGCCTCTATGTCCTTAATTTTATTTTTAATTATTATTGTCTACTAGGCCTTTTGTATACTAATAATAATTATTATACTGGTGTGATCAATTGGACACAAAGATGAAGCAGTAATCAAAACTAAAACAGAGTTTCTTTGTTTTCACAGAAAAATAGGTAAAAATAAAGAAACACTGTTTTAATTTTGACTATTGCTACATATATGTAAACATCTCTAAGTCTGATGTTATTAATCAAAGCCAAATGATCACTGTAATTATTAATAGTAGCAGAAAAAATAACTTGATTAATTATGGCAATCATTTGACTTTGACTCCTACTTCTTTGTGTCCAAGTGATCATACCAGTGTAATAAGTCCTATTACTATACAGAAGTTCTAGTAGACAGTAATAATTTAAAATAAATGCTTTTAATTAAAATAAATTATTTTTGAATGAATCAGATTTAAATTGAAATTTTATTACAGAAAAAACAGAAAAGAAATTGAATTTTAGAGATGATAAATCTCTAAGGTAAAAATGTTAGAATAATAATGGTAGAGTTTAAAGTAGCTTTAAAGCTTTCAATAGCTATAAAATATTCTTTGTCTACTATATAATGAAAGCAATCAAATATTTTACCCTCGATACTATTCTCATCCATTGTATAATCACATTACATTAAAAGAGTAGAGAGGTTGTCTGTATGTGCACAGACTTTATCTCTAAGAAATTAGAAGTGATGAAATTGAAGTTAGAAGAGGAAGTGATAGTAAGTAGGGAGGGAAAGATTGAAGGGAAGTATTGGATCACTGGGTGTCTGCATCGCATTTGTTAAACAAGTAAAAATACAATTACTTGTATTTTTACTTGTTTAACAAGATAAAATATGTACATATTTTATCTTGTTAAACAGTGATACAGTGATACAGTATACAATACAAACATGACAAGTTTGTGCATGTAGGCGGGTGCATACAGCAAAGGAGGTACCGACATATTGATTTAACATTTACAAAGGCACATGTTTTGTGACTATTTTATATAAAAATTTAGAAAATTCAGACATTCGTTATAGGAGTGACAAGATTGCGGTTATAGACGATTGTGTACAGCAAAGGGGTATTGGACATAATGGTTTAACATTTACAAAGTACATAATTTGTGACCGCTTTATATAAATAATTTATACGAATATCAACATTCGTTATAGGAGTGGAGCAGTATTATATAAAGTTAGATATAGAACAAAACATGAATATTAATTATTGATATGGCTAAGTTGCATATTTACATGGTTAATGCTGTAGATGGAATTGGCATAAGAGATAAAACATTACAAAAAATTATTATTAGAAACAATATTCTCGAATCCATGCTTGTAACTAATTATTGAAGAACATAGTTAATATAAGCCCAGTGGGTCTAATTTGCATAAGTACAGTCAAATTGCAAATTGGGCAAGTAGCCAGCTTACCTTAATTGATATCAGCCAATCCATTGTTGGTCTAGATGTGAATTGTTGTTGCTGTGTCACCCATTTTGTTGGCTGGTTGAATTTCGGCATGAATTTTTTTTTTGTGTTGTGTATGAAATTCTTCATTTTTCTTTTGTTATTGAGAATGTCAGCAGGATTGGGGGGGCCAGTTGAGTTCTGTTTGAAGACATTCTTTGAAGAGTTCTGTACATTGGTGGTTGTATTTGTTGCAGCTGAAAAGAAAATGTAGTGCATCGTCTTTACTCTGTCTATCACAATTACAGATGCTATCTATCTGCTTACCAAAATAGTACAGGTATGATAAGAAGTTCCCATGTCCTGTAAGGCACTGGGTCACCTCTGCATCTGGGCTGAAGTATTTGACTTTTTTAAGATATGAAATTGTGACATAACTTTCCTGTATCAGGACAGTCCCATTCCTTCTGCCACATATCATTGGCTGTGTTGTAGTTGATGTTTCGAGGAAATTTCAGATAGCTTCTTGTATCTGAGTTTTGAAGATAATGTGCAGGCTGACTTGGCCAACTTTTCGGCCAATTCATTACCTTTGTGGCCCTTGTGAGCTGGGATCCAACTAATCTGTGGTTACAGTTTTTCCCAGGTTTTGAACAGTCTTTATCATTCAGCAGCTAGAACAGATGGGTTCTTTTGATAGTTTAGAATATTAAGGGTCACTTTACTGTCCATAAAGATGTGATTGTCTGTGTGTTGGACCCTTATAATATGTATGGTGATTGTCTGTGTGTTGGATTGCCTTGCTAATGGCATTGTATAACCACATTATAAAACTTAAATGGCAAGTTGTAATGGTACCAAGTGAACTCATTTTTCATGAAAGCAAAATGTACACTAACTTTCTATAGAAGTTCAATGAAAATTTGATATAGAATATGCAATAACCTTCATAATTGTCTAATTGTCAATGTAATAGGAAGATTGTTGAAACAGATCATAGCAGTACAATTTTATAGTATTATAGAGGTTAAGTCTGAAGAGTCTTACTCTTCAGATTTAACCTCTTTGAGCTTAATCCTGATTTTGTAAAAGTATAAAATAATCTTTCCTGTATTGTTACTGAACATAAGGAATATGCCATTTTAGAAATAATTAATGTACTCAAGTGAAAAAATTGTATATTAATCTATCATATTTGCATAAAATTAGAGAAAGTGTCATTGAAATCAAACTATAAATATTCAACATAAAAGTTTCATATGTCTAGTTTTATTATTATAAAATAAAGTAAGTAGTATTCCATTTCAATAAGTTTGTTTCTATTGAAAGTTGTAAAGCTACTTAAGGCTTATCCTACCTATTATATTCATAATAATATCTTAAATAAAATTTTATAATTATTATTTTATTTAGTTTGGAAAATTATCAGAGATTTTCTGGAAGTTTTAGTGATACTCTTTGTAGCAGTAGTACTAATAGTAGAGCTTCAGAAAATTCTCCATTAGACAAAACACTAGTTGCAAATAAGGCAGAGGTAAGATTATTTTTTTATAATGCTGATATATAACACATTTGTATTTTAATACAATATACTATAAAGGCTTGAAAGTTTGTTTATTGTTAAAATATATAATTGATTAGAAGAATTATTTGAAACTTAAATTATTTCTTTCATTTTGTTTGTTTGGAGAGACAAATGAATTTGTATTTTCATTTATCTAAAATTTTGATTTAATAATAATGAATTGAAAAAAAATTATTACATTTTAACTTTTTGAGATGACACATGCCATTACACTGATAAAAATAAATATGATTATTCACTCTTGAAATGCTAAATAAATTCAATAGAACAATAAAATTAATGATATGAGAATGGACACCAACCAGTGCTGAACCAGTGCTAGACATGGTTATATTACTAAATAAATTAGTAATATAGCCATGTCTGGCCTGATAGAATTTGGGTTTGGTGTCTAGCTTTATTGTATATTAGGTTTAGTGGTGATGTTTGTTTAGTTAGATATAAGAATGGAAACCAATATAATGTAATACAATAAAATAATGTGATAATGAATTTTAACATTTTCAAGTGTATTATAAGTTACATAGAGTTCTATAATCAAATGATTGCCTAAATAATTGGGCTATGACTCTGCTAATTTAATGATTAATACTAAGTAATTTGCTACTAGATGTAGCCGTTAGGCACCATCTCATAACTAAATTAATAATTATAATTTTAATAATTTATTAAATAATTTAGAACCATCTGGAAGAGAAGAACTGACTCAGAGTGGGACGGTGCTTGAACCCGCAACCTCTGCTTGCCAGTTACGCCACCCAGACCTCAAACAAGTCTTTGCTTTCAGATGTATTTAAATTTCAGATATAACCTTATGCAGTTAAACACAGTGCCAGCTGGGAATGGCCTAAGTACAACTCCAGAATGGTGAAGTAAAGGCTTACTCTGGAAAGAAAGCCTTCTGGAAGCAGAGCTCTACATCTGGAAGCAAAGACTTGCTTGGGGTCCGGGTAGTGCAACTGGTAAGTGCACCACACAGCAGGCAGAGGTTCTGGGTTCAAGCTCTAGCCCCACTCCAGGTCAGTTCTTTTTTCCAGATGGTTCTAAATTATTTAATAAATTATTAAAATTATAATTATTATTTTAGTTATGAGATGGNTTTTTTTTTTTTTTTTTTTTTTTTTTTTTTTTTTTTTTTTTTTTTTTTTTTTTTTTTTTTTTTTTTTTTTTTTTTTTTTTTTTTTTTTTTTTTTTTTTTTTTTTTTTTTTTTTTTTTTTTTTTTTTTTTTTTTTTTTTTTTTTTTTTTTTTTTTTTTTTTTTTTTTTTTTTTTTTTTTTTTTTTTTTTTTTTTTTTTTTTTTTTTTTTTTTTTTTTTTTTTTTTTTTTTTTTTTTTTTTTTTTTTTTTTTTTTTTTTTTTTTTTTTTTTTTTTTTTTTTTTTTTTTTTTTTTTTTTTTTTTTTTTTTTTTTTTTTTTTTTTTTTTTTTTTTTTTTTTTTTTTTTTTTTTTTTTTTTTTTTTTTTTTTTTTTTTTTTTTTTTTTTTTTTTTTTTTTTTTTTTTTTTTTTTTTTTTTTTTTTTTTTTTTTTTTTTTTTTTTTTTTTTTTTTTTTTTTTTTTTTTTTTTTTTTTTTTTTTTTTTTTTTTTTTTTTTTTTTTTTTTTTTTTTTTTTTTTTTTTTTTTTTTTTTTTTTTTTTTTTTTTTTTTTTTTTTTTTTTTTTTTTTTTTTTTTTTTTTTTTTTTTTTTTTTTTTTTTTTTTTTTTTTTTTTTTTTTTTTTTTTTTTTTTTTTTTTTTTTTTTTTTTTTTTTTTTTTTTTTTTTTTTTTTTTTTTTTTTTTTTTTTTTTTTTTTTTTTTTTTTTTTTTTTTTTTTTTTTTTTTTTTTTTTTTTTTTTTTTTTTTTTTTTTTTTTTTTTTTTTTTTTTTTTTTTTTTTTTTTTTTTTTTTTTTTTTTTTTTTTTTTTTTTTTTTTTTTTTTTTTTTTTTTTTTTTTTTTTTTTTTTTTTTTTTTTTTTTTTTTTTTTTTTTTTTTTTTTTTTTTTTTTTTTTTTTGTTGAATTTGAACAATGAATGGGAGTGTTGTCTTGTTGAAATGTCCAATTTGGACCATCTATTATTTCTGCTATAGGAAGGAGATGTTGTTCTAAGGTGTCTTGATAATGTTCTGAAGTCTGACATCCAAAAAGAAATGCAAGACTGGAAATTCCATTGAATCCAAATGCTCCCCACACCATTAGAGAGCCACCACCTTGTTGTCTACTGTAAAACACTCAGTCTTCTTTTCTCAATCATGCAAGTAGTAATTTCAGCCATCAGGACCATCTAAGTTCCACTTTTTTTCATCACTGAAGAGTGTAGTTTTTCTTCTTTCTACTGCATATAGCTTTTGGCCTATTCCAATCTTGCTTTAAGATGTTCAGGTTTGAGATGTGGTTTTTTTTACACATCCTTGTTAATTTAATATTAGTATTTTTACTTATTATTGTGCAGTATTTTTATAAATATTTAAGTTAGACTTTCTTAAAACTTGTCTAACTGATAAATTTTGTCTAGATACCAGTCTAATAATACATCTTCCATCTGTGAGTGATGTTACTTTAGGTTGACCTGAATGTGTTGCTGGTTTAAAATTTTCTTTTCTTGCCAAAACTTTATATATTCCTGAAGCTGAATGACCTATTTTGCTTGAAATTTCAGTAATTGAATGTCCACTTGCTTTCAATCTTCAAATTTCAGTCACTTCTGGAGAAAATTGATTTTCTTTGGACATCTTGATTGTTTCATTATTTCTTTGTCAATTCCAAAAATAAAAACGATTATAAAAACGAAATTTTGAGGTTTTATTGTTATCAGTCGTAACTGATGTCATTCATCATGAATTTTTGTATTAATTTGCTCAGAAACAAATAAAATATTATTATTACCTAAACTTTTGAAACAGCAAAATCTAACAAAATTTCTATTATTCTAAGCAATTTAATAACTATTAAACCTTTAAATTTATTATTTTAATGACATTTAGTATGATGATTTAATAAGACAAATGAGGTCACAATGCAATTGAAAGTTTAGTATTTTAAAAGATTTTAATGAAAAATTATTTTATTTAAGCTCTTGGGACAGATCTTATGTGTGTATTATTAATTATTACATTTTACAAATTATCATATCTATATTAATGTATCATTAACAATTTGAGAATTGGAGAAATATGCCAATTGGATAGAGAGAAAGATCAACAGGACAATATAACTGTCTCCTGAGATTGAATTTGCAAAAAAGAATTTATTTAAAATCCTATATTTTCTGACACATTTTAGCTTTATTTTTGGTGAAAAGTAAAGCTTTTTTTGAAAATTAAATAGCAAAATTTTTGCTGAATTCAGGGAAACACGGTATGTACATACCGTGTTTCCCTGAAAATAAGACATTCTCAGAAAATAAGACCTAGCACAGGTTTTGCTGAATTGCGAAATATAAGACCTTCCCCCGAAAGTAAGACTTTTTAGTCGTAACGGTCATCGACAGATGGTTGAAAGTGGCCGTTAGNAAGTATCTAGATTCATTATGGTGATTGTTTGGCTTATTATTAACTTAAAAGTATCTAAGACAAGTGAATTAATTAGCAGTAAAATGGACTTAGGGGATTAGAGTTGATGACAAACATAACCCAGAAATAGATAAATTATAAAAAAAAATCCATGTGTAAAAATAAAAACAATTGCTAGTAAGGTGTATCCCAAAAGTTTTTAAGGTAAAATGATTTTTCATGAACTTTTAAAATATTGAACTTTTAATTGATGTAATAAGTGAAATGAGATCACAATAAATCACATTAAATATCATTAAAAAGAAAAATTTAACAATTTAATAGTTATGAAGATGCTTACAATAATAGAAATTTTGCTAAACTCTGTCATCCAAAATGTTTAAGTAAATTTTTAAAATTGTGGAAAAAAATTATTTAATGGCTAATTGTGCTCCATAATTTTTAGGAACATCAAACACATGATTTTACATTGAACTCACAAAAGTTTGTAACTATTGTGCTTTCAAGTTATATCATGAATCTTCTTGCATATTTAAGTTCCATAACATTTGAAAACTGACAACCACCTGCATACACCTGTCTTGCTACAATCCTCCATAAATTTTCTATTGGTTGAAGGTCTGAACTACTTGCAGGCCATTTCATGACATTCACTTTTGATTCTGAAGCTATTTTTGGTTGAATTTGAACAATGAATGGGAGCATTGTCATGTTAGGTGGTCCAAATGGGATATTTCATCATTTTTGCTATAGGAAGGAGATGTTGTTTTAAGGTATCTTGATAATGTTCTGAAGTCTGACATCCAGAAAGAAATTCTAGACTGGAAATTCCATTGAATCCAAATGCTCCCCACACTATTAGAGAGCTACTGAGTTTTACATCAGACCTTGTCTGATGTAAAACTCNGGATGAGGTTGGTGAATCTGTTGAACTTGTAAAGATAAAAAATGATAATAATATTAATAGAGAAATAACAAGAGGGAAAAAAGTGCTTAATGGTTAGAGGTAAAGTGCTTTTTGCTTAATGGTTCAAAACACTTTTGAATCATTAAGCAGAAAGATGATGATTGATTTTAGACAGGGAGGATGGAGGGTGAGAGATCTGAAGAGCCTTGAGTGCCAATATGATAAATGCAATTAAAAAACAAGAACATAACACTTTATTTCATATAACACAATACATTCTTTGGCCTATGGTTAGAAAGATCACTCAGCTGGAAGGAAGTAAGCCATTTTTTGATAGATAATACTAAAAAATATAAACGGTGGAGAGAAATTGTAATTGAATTAATTAATTAATGATCAAATTGGAGAAAATAATGTAAAAATTAGACTGTATCTTCTATATAAAAATTTGCATAAACAACATATTAGTAGCAATATGATAAATAAAACTTTAAATTGGAATGAAATATGGGTAAATGTTGAAGCACTTCCAGCTGAGTGGAAAGAATTCACCTGGAGGATTTTGAATAATAATGTTAAATTAAAA